ACTAGATACAGTTTTGTTATTGTTATATTTGTCAATATGTTGAATTATGGTTTGAATAGTTTGACTATGAGGAAGAAATAGTAAGTGGTAATGAAGAAGAAATTTGTTAAAACATGTATGAAGATCATAGGTAATTAAAGATGTTGTAAATGATCTTTCAAAATTGTCTTCTACAGGGTTGATCACTGTATGCTTGGCTCTCACAGCTATGCAAAGTATCATAATTTGCCCTGTATGTTGGGTCTGACCATCATTATCCTGGCCTTCCATATATATATAGATATTTTTCTTTTTTATCTTTTTTTATTTTTTATTTGTATTTGATATATAATAAATAAAGTTGATAATAATCAAATAAAAAAAATTAATTAAATATATTAAAATATATAAATAACAAAATTCAAATAAAAAAAAAAAAAAAAATTTATCAATAAAAATTATTTTGTAATTTTCAAAATATTTTAAAATCATTTTGAATTTTTTATTTATTTCGAAATCTTTTGAATATTTCAAAATATTTCTAAATTATTCCAATTATTTCAAAATATTTTGAATTGTTCTAAATATTTCTAATTATTTTTGAATTATGTTTTCATATTTTATTTTTATTATTTTTTAAAATTTTGTAAAATAGCTGAAATTCTTTTGAAATTATTTTAATACTTTCACAATATTTCAAAATTATTTTATTTTGAAATAATTTCATGTCAATCACAGTTATTTCGAAAAATTTTTAGTATGCAAAATTTTTCGCAATACTTCACATATTTATTCTGCTAATGAACAAAGTTGTTGAAAGTTTTTTCTTTTGGTAAATTAAATAATAGTTTTACTGTTTTAAATAATTGTTTAATAGGTTTTAATTCTGAAATCCACAAAGGTAATCCACATTTATAAATTACTTATGCAAACTCATATTCTATTTTACTTTGTTCTGAAGAATTAATTCTATCTAAAAAATTTATTATATTGTTTTGTTTTTGAACAACTAGGATTTGTTGAGAGTCAGAGAACTAGAAGAACTAGAACTAAAATATTGTTGTTTAATTTCTGGATCTATTTCTTTACAAATTTTTAAATGTCCTTTACATCTTGCAATATTTTTATTATATAAACTTTTATAATAATTACATTTAGCTTATAGTTGTTTATAACCTGAAACTGTTCCAATTTTTGTAAAATGGTTCCAAACTTTATGCCCTATTATAAACAGCTTAGATGAAAAGAATATATAATATATGTATTTGTAATTATTAAAAAAAATGGATTGTAATAAATAAAGTTTTATTTATATATATTAATTATATATAATTGTATTGATAAACAAATATATGTATTAGTATGTGAAACAATATATATGTAAATAAATTAATAAATATAGAATTTCACACCAATCATATAGTGATAACAATAAAACTTGTCATTTTAATAAATTGACTAGGATAAATCACTCTCAAAAAAGTTTTTGAAAATAATATGTATAATTGATTAGATATGATAAATAATATTTATTAAATATTAGCATAATTGATTTAGTAAATGTTTTTTTTCATCGATTTTTTAAAGTAAAAATTGATCATTAAAAGCATAAATCCAAAAATATATTATTTTAAAAATATAAGTATATTATAATAAAACTTTTATAATCATATTTATTTAGATAAAACAAACTAAGTAATTATAAAGAAGTATCTCTATAAAACACTTATCAATATTTATATAGAATGGCTTGAAAAAAAATAAAAATTATACTTTTAATAAGGCATTTTATTTTTATATAACTTTCTATCACTATAATTTGAAATTTAATATAGTTAATGATAGTAATTAAATGTAAATTCTTGTAACATTGTAAGTAATTTTTTAGTTTCTTTATAAATAAGTAAATAGTATATTTAGTTAATATTGTCATCTTTATAACAAAACTATAGATACATTCATGTAAATTAGAGGTACTTACAGCATTATCTAATCAGATAGATCTGCTTTTAGCTGTACAAGATCTATAACTAGACTTGGTAAAATATCATTTTTATCTAAACCTTTTGCTTGCATTAAATATAATCTAACTAAATTTTCATTTATTATTTAATAAACAGAAATCACATCCCTACATTCTTTACCTTATAGTATAAACTTCACTGTTCTAGATTATATAGTTTATTTCTACTGTCATATAGATAAACATTGTTCAGAAGATCTATTTTGATTGCTATGATCAAATTTTTAATAACCTGAATTTTCATAAAAAAAGAATAAAAATTGAAACAAATTATAAAAATTAATCAAAAAAATGCAATTGAACTTTTGAATCTTGTGGATTTAATTATTAATGTGCTTTTGGAAGATTAAAACTCTAATTATTTATTTGAATTCAGAACACAGCAACAAAAAATTATTGAAGAAAATAAATAAAAACAAATGGCTCAGTAGTATTAATAAAATCTTTGTGCTATTATATAAATTGGATAGAAAAATAGATTATACTAATTTTGCTCTAACATATCAATACAATTAATAGATACTTTAATAGACAAAAATAGAATAAAAGTTAATATAAGTAAAACAAGTAAGAATATTATTTAATTTCTTACAATAATTTTAGTTCTCTAAACTAAGCATACTTTGTTAAAATTTACTAACTATGCAATTTTTTAATTTTACACTCACAATCCTTTTTCTGCTTGATTATAATCATTTTAAAAAGCAATGAAATATCCCAAATACTTAGAACAACTGTAATTATAATACTTTTTAGCTATAATAAATAATATGTTTATTAAGTTATTCGAAATAAATAAAATGATTAATTTATTACTTATCATTATTATTTTGATAGTCTAATTTTGTTTGTATTTTTTAGTAAACTACATGAATTTTTAGTGCTTGATATATTTGTTATGTGAGTTTGAAACTTTTTTGGGTAATGAATTTTATTCTGATCAATAAATCTGTGCATATCATATAATATAATAATTTGCAGTTTTTGATAGGTGTTCTGATTGGTCAAAAGTGACAGAGATAAAGATTTGAATGATAAGACTGTGTCGATTAACTTTTCATATGTTGAGAAGGTAACAGGTATGAAGATGTAACATTGAGGTTCTTTCTGTTTTCTGTTAACTGTCAGTGCTATGATTTATTTATTTTATTATTTTTTTCCTTGATAGGTTCAACACTGCTCTTTTCTTTGCATTGTTATGTTTTTTAATAATTATCTATTTGATTAGGTATGATTTATGTTTTATTGTCTAGGTTGAAGCTTGAGGTGATTGTCATATGATGATAGATGTTTAAAGATTGTATGATATATGTGATATTCTGCATGGAATTGTCAGAAGCTTGAAGATATAATGATAAGATTCATTTTAACTCTAATATATGATTCATTTTTTTTTCAATAACTTTATTACTTATTTTTATGTTAATCTAGCATTGTCTCTTTTTTTTGCATCATTATACTTTTTGGTGATCTTATATTTTGATTATGATTTTCATTTCAGTACTTGGTCAAAACTGGTACAGTATACTTGATGGATGCATCATCTGAAAGTATTTTTACTTTGAAACATACCTGTAACATGTGACTTAGTGTTAATCTTCATTTGTGATCCTGGTGCAACTGCTACTATCCATTATAACTCATTTTTGAAATTTTGTAATAGGAATTCAGTTGCATGGTTATTATGTATTGAATTGCAGATCAAGAAAAATTTTTTTTTGATAATTTAGCCAATTTGTTATATAATGATAGATATTTAAAAATTGTAATGTGTATCAGTATATTGATATACATTGTTTATCAGAAGCTTATATGACTATTGTTGAATTATTTAGAGGATCATTGATTATTAATATAAGCTTTTAGATATGCTGACTATATTTTTGTGATAAAAAGCCTCTTTCTTCTTTTAATAGAAAGTAGTATGTTGATCAGCAATTGTAACAATTGTATTTGAATAATAAGTACAGTGATTTCATCATGTTAATATAATTATGTAATTAAAATATAAAACATAATTAATGTGTAAAACATGTAATATTTGTGTACTGTATTCTATTTATAAATATATATTTAATATATGTATATGATCTTAAATATTTAGACATATTGTTATGTTTCTAAATTTTTGAAAAAAAATTTAAAAAAAATAATGCCATATTATTTAGATACTAGTGTAAAAATCAAATTAACTAGACAAAATGAAACAAAAGATACAGAATCAATTTCAATTTGGGCTATTGGATCATATCCTATAGGATCTGAAGACAATGAAATAGAAATAGTTATTTATGTACCATGAAATCCTCTTGAATGTGATACTGGATCACAAGCAATCTTTAAAAGAGAAGAATATTATTTAATTGAAGGAAAAATTGTATCTGGTCATTATGCTGAAAGCATTAGACCAAAAGTAATAATATTTTGTAAAATCTATAATCATTTTTGAAATAATAATAACAATGTTATCATTTTTAGATGTTAGTTGTAACTTCAACTCACTTAACTGTTAACAGCAAACCTTTGGAATCAAATAAATGTTTACTAAAAGTATCTATAGTAGAAACACTACTAAAAAAACCAGCTGAGATTAGAACACTGATAACTGTATAATTGAAATGCTTATGACTGACCATGCTGGGGGTCAAGTCCATGATTACACAGTTATTGTAATCTTTTCTCATACTAATCCTTGATTTGAACATCTTAAAATGACTATCCGTCTACAAGAATTACTCATTTTTGTGGTTGGTCAAATAGAAGTCATAGATAATAAATTCTATATTAATGCAAAAGATATTAACTACATTAATATGAAAAAAAAGGATTCTGAAGCAGATGATTCTCAGATCTCATCAACTTCAACTAACCTAACAAGATCCAAATTATTGAATATCCATCAAAATATAATCAAAAATTCGAGAGATACATTAACAGTTCAATCACTACCACCAAGCAATATTGGAAGTACTTTTTTAACTAAATGCAAAAGAACTGATATAACAGATAATGCAATTGTTGATGCAGACTTTGCAACTTCTGTTGATCATAATTTGAAAAATACTAAAATTAGTCTTGAATCTGATCAAGAAGAGTCTGAAAAAATAACCAAAAATAATAAACTGCAAAAAAAGACAAAACAACTTCTGATTAGATCTTCTTATAAGAAAAAAAAATCATGTGATTTAAGACCTGCAGATATTATTAATTCTGATGAAAATTGAACATGTCCAAATTAATATTTTATTTTCTATTGTATAATGTATATTTAATATATGTGATGAACTATTCTATAAAATTTTTAATAGTTCAGTTATTATCTTGTTAACATATATCAATAAATATGAATAAATTTGCATACATAACAATATATATGTGTATAAAAAAAATAAAATAATGTCAAAGTGTTACTTTGTATTTTTAAATCATGTGATGATCATTAACTATACCTGAATTATGTATTATAAATAATAAACAGATCGACTATTAACTTATCATTGTGTTATACAGAGTAGTTTATTCGTTAAGCATTATAAGTAATTTTTAGCATGTCTATTGTTTATTGCATAATCAACTTTCCAAAAAAAAAATAATGAATAAATAAATAAATTGATAAAACTTAGCTTCATGCTAAAAAAAATTTGATGTTTGACATACTCTATTTACAGTATTATTATGTTCTGAATTAGATTATCCTACCTGTTCTAATTTTTTTTATCCATTATAATTGATAAGTAAAACTCAACTTTAAATGTAAGAAAATCTTAATTGAGAATTGTAATCTTTTGTAAATATGTCTTATACTCTTTTACATTGATAAAAACCCAAATTTTATGAAAAAAAAACTTCGTGATATTAAAAAATTGTAAAAAAAATTGAATAGTTGTAACTAACTAACTTATGTTAAAAAAATTCTTAAATATAGTATTTCATCTATTAAAAAAGGATTCAACAAACTGCAACATAAATAGAATAATTTATGTTACAATACAAATTCTTATTCACCATTTTGCTTGAATAATTTGTTGATTGAATATTCATCATGACCCTATTAAAAAACATTAAATTACAATAAAGCTACAAGTTTTTAAATTTTATAAGATTTGTTTATAATAATTTGTGTAAACCATAATATATATCTAAATTCTTATGCCTCAAATTTCAAGTTGCAGAGCAATTGCTCAACAAAGATAAAGATTTACAGAAAAAATAATACATAAATCAGCACAAAAAAAAAATAAAAACCATATTAGATTAGAAAATACTAAAATTTTTAACCTTTTACAACACACAAGTGAACATCATGATCTTGGTCATATGAATATAAAATGTGTTCACTGTAATGCACTTCATTGGTACAATGAAGGTCTTACTTCTTCTTCTCATAATCATCTAAAATTTGATACATGTTGTTCACATAGAAAAGTTATTCTACCACTATTGCAAAATCCACAACTCCTATTACATCAACTTTTTGAAGGCCAGAGTAAACATTCTAAAGAATTTAAAAATAATATCTGTTAATATATTGCAGCAAATGCTTTCATCTCTCTTGGTACAAACATTGATAAATCTATTCTTGATGGCTGTGGACTATATAACTTCTGTATAAATAGTGAATTATATCATCTTATAGGCTCTTAACTTTCTGAATCAAGTGTTGGAGCAACTTATGCACAACTTTATATTTATAAACCTGAAGTGGCTTATTGTTTAAAGATAGGATGAAATAAAACTTTATCACCAGATATAATATGAGAAATCCAAAAACTTTAAGTGAATACTATGCATTTTACTTTATATATCAGCAAGCACATGAAATACTTCAGAATCAGAATAAAAAAACAACAAATGTGATGGCTTACCTTCATTTTAATAAAAAAAACTAACAAACACTGTTACAACCTTCTTATGGCAAATAAGATTGCTATTATTTTGCCAGGTGATAGTTCTATACCTCAAATAAAGCATGACATTGTTCTTTGACTTTGTGGAGGCCCACTTCAATGAATTTATAAAGGACACCTGGCTTATGTATTCCTTTATTATGTTTTGCTTTTCCTCAAGATGAACTTGGATGGCATCCTGATTTATGTTATGTATTAATCAATACACAAGAACAACCTATTGAAAATCAAAGTAATGCTTTGCATCTTACTCAAATGAATTTTTATTTTTTTTTGACTTTTTCTACAAAATAATGAATTTTCTACAATTCTCTATAGTGAAAAATTGTTTCAAGAGTTTATAGTTGATGCATAGGCAGCAACTAAACAGAATAGGTTATAATTTTTATATATAAATCAAAGTAAACTAATGCAGATATTTATCAATGTCTTGCTAATATTGTTAGAAACAATAAAACTGGACAAGTATCTTAAATAATCTTGGTCATCGAATTATTCTCCCTTTTACACATATTGTAAGTGCTCACCATATGTTTGAAATATTCCAAGATTCAATGGTAATTACCTAATTCTATGAACATACTGACATTTTTGGAACAATGACTGCAAATCCAAACTGGCCTGAAATAATTAGCAAATTATTTCTAGGCCAAACTTCATCAGATAGACATGACTTAATAGCATATATATTCAAACTAAAATGTTGTGCACTTCTTTGTGATATTAAAAAAATAATTTGTTTGGCAAAGTTGTTGTGCATGTCTATACTATTGAATTTCAAAAATGTGGCCTTTTGCATATGCATTTCTTAATATTTTTTTACTGTAATGACAAAATAAAAGAACATGCAGATATTGATCAAATATTGTGTTCTGAATTTCCTGACCAACAAACAGATCCAAATCTTTTTGATACTATACTTCGATATATAGTACATGGTTCTTGCAAACTTTGCAATCCAAATGCTTCATGTATGATTAATAACAAATTTAACAAAAATTATTCAAAAACATTTTGTGAACTAACTTCAATGAGTAAAGATAGTTATTTCCTCTATGCCAGAAAAAATAATAACAAAAAATTTGAAGTTAGAGGAAATTCATTGATAATTAAGACATTGTACTATATAATTCTGACCTTAGTCAAAATATAACTGTCATATTAATATTAAGATCTGTACTTCTATATGTGTTTTTAAATATATTCATAAATATTTATAAAAGTCTTGATAGTTTTACAATACAGTTTGGTTAAGAACAAGATGAAATCAAACAATATATCAATGCAAGATATATTGGCATTGCTGAAGCCACACAATGTCTCTTTACTATGCCAATGCATGAAGAATCACTATCTGTTATAAAATTAGTATTACATCTCTCTAGAATACATACTGTTGTTTTTGATCCTACTAATAATGCATTCATCATTATTACCTATGCTAATTATTAAAGGACAACACTCACTGCATTTTTTGAAATATGTATAACTCTTGATTCTGCTCATCAATACACTTATCAAGAGTTTTCACAACATTTTGTTTAGAATAAAAAAACCAAATAATAAACAACCAGAAAATAAGAATTTGTGATTGGAAGATTATACTTTGCTGGTTCTTCTATAGAAGAATGATTTTATCTTTAACTTCTTTTTACTATTATATACAATCCAACATCTTTTGATTATCTAAAAACCATAAATAACATTCTTTATTCAATGTTTAAAGATGCATGTTTAGCTTTAGGGTTACTAGAAAATGATCGAGAATGGACCCAATGTCTTGAAGAAGCTGCTGCCCTTTATACAGAATCTCAACTAAGAATTTTTTTTGCCATTATACTTATTCAATGTACTCCTACTCATCTAAAAAAGTTATGGTTATGCTTTTATACTAATCTCTGTGATGATCTTCATTATTATCTATATAAAGAATATAATATTCTTGATTCTACTAATGAGCAACATTTTGATCTTAAACTTTTTTTATTAGACAAGATCCTTCATCAATCTAACTAATCTTTTAAGATGTTTTCATTAATGCCTCTTTGGAAATAAAATTGGAAACATTATAATAAATCTTATATTATTGCAGAACAACTCGCATGGAATCACGCAAACCTTCAAGATATTGTTAACAATCATCTCCTACAACTAAATGCTGAACAAGCAACTGCTTACCATAAAATTAATGAATCTGTAACAAACAATATGGTAAAATATTTTTTCTTAATAGCTATGCAAGAACTGATAAAACTTTTTTGTACAACAGGATTGCAATGAAGATTCAAAGTCAAAAAAAATTGTCCTTGGTGTGACTTCTTCAGGCATTGCAGCACTTCTACTTGATCTAGGTCACACTGCTCATTCAAGATTCAAAATCTCATTGAATATAAATAAAGACTCTTTCTGTGAAATTAACAAGAGTTCAACAGATGCTAATTTAATGCATCAAACTTCTTTAATCATTTGAAATGAATTACCGATGCAACATTGTCACTGTTCTGAAGCTGTTGATTATACTTTGTGAGATATTTGTAACACTAAACATTCATTTGGTGGAATACTATAGTATTTGGAGAAGATTTTGCCAAATACTTCCAGTAATTATAAAAGGATCTAGAGAAGAAATTGTTGCTGCTTCATTTACATGATCACATCTATGGCAGCATGTTAAAAAAAATTTACTTATACTAAAAAAAAATATGTAATTTAATATAGAATCTGATGAAAATATTTATTTTACATATTGGCTTTTACAAGTAAACATGCTTATTTCTAATATACTGTTAAATCTGTTAGATATCTAATTATATCTTAATTATTTTGTTACAAAAACTTGATATTTTATTGTAAAATAAATGCATATAACTACATAATTATTATAAAATACTATTAAATTTAATAACAACTATATGATCATTATGCAATTATTGTACATTAAAATATCCAGATTTCTGTATAAATTTTTTTAAAGTTGGAAATAGTACAAATACTACAAACAATATATTATCACTTCCAGAATTCATAAAAATACCAACTCAAGATTTGAAAATACTCATTGATACCATATATTCTAACATCTGTAAAGCAGTAATGTGCAATAATCAATATCTAAGCGAATGATCAATTCTTTCACCACAAAATAAAGATGTTGAATATATTAATCAAAACATTTTTGATCTATTCTCAGGAAACTAACATGCATATTTCAGTGCCAACAATGCTGTAATTGAAGAAAGTGCTAATGGTAATAACATATATCTGACTGAATTTTTCAATATACTCAATCCCAATAGTATGCCATTATCAAATCTTAATCTCAAAATAGGCTGCCCAATAATGCTTCTCAGAAACATTGCTCCTGGACAAGGTCTCTGTAATGGAACTTGCTTAATTGTGACACATTTATCAAGTCACATAATTGAAGCTTGAATATTATGTGAAACACATGCAAGAAGTCTCATGTTCATACTCTGAATTACCCTAAATCCTTCAACTTCTATACTTTTATTTGTTTTTAAAAGAAGCCAATTTCTTGTATGTATCATCTTTAGAATAATCGTAAACAAATCTCAAGGATAATTATTAAAATATATAGGTTTAGATCTTTGAACACCTGTGTTTTTACATGGCCAACTTTATGTTGCTTTTTTATATAGCACCATTCCAAAATCAATTAAAGTTCTTTTTCTCCAAGATAATATTGACACAACAACAATGAACATAGTTTATCCTGAAGTATTAATAAACACTTGAACTATACAATGCATAATTATATTTTTTGATTATTCTATTATTTATATATCATCAGTTTAACTTTAACTTAATACAATAAATTATTTAAAAAATTTATTTAAAAAATTTAAGACTATCTGAATATTAAAATTTTAAATATATTTTGTATTTCTTAATAATCACAAACATTAATCACGAAAAAAAACACTAACACCTCAATACAAAAATAAACACTTCTCAACTTTCATCAACTTTCTTTAAAGCAAATATTAAAACTATCTATATTTTTTTCTCTTTTATATTAATATTTAACTAAAGAGGATGTGGCAACTTAGTGAAGTGGATAAGTTGTCATACCCCCAAGTGGTAGGTTGTGAGTTCAAAACCCACTAATGACGAATTTTGAAATAATCACCTATGTAATATATAGATGGTATTATGGCAGTGGCATTCTGTTGATCAGTTGAGATAGGATACCTGTAACTATAGTAGCACCAGCATGACTGGCAGGTCTGGGGCATCTGTGTAACCTGTTATACAGAGGAATACAAACTGGTACCAGGCAGTGCAAACCTAAAATAAGTCCTCGAGCTGTGTAAATTTGTAGAACTAGGAAGCCAGAGCCCACTTAGAAATTCTGAGCAGAGAGGTAACACAGATCTTTGACAGTACTACTGTAAAGACTAGATCTAGAAAATAGATACTAATGTGAAGGATTCGAGTAGGCAAGAACCTCAGGTGAAGGGTACCATTAACCAGGTCACTGAATTTCAGACCAGAGGAAAAAGATATTGGGCTGACCTCAATATACCAAGAACAGGTCACAGTTCTTCTGGGCTATCTGGATTGGAAGTCTGGGTTCAAAGCAGGAATATACTAAAAGTACTAGAGATATGCTGTGAAATCAGTACTGGGGTCTGGGTAAACTCTGTAAAGATAACCTGTGTTAGTGTTCTAAAAGTAGGTAGATAGTTAACAACAGGAGACACCCTGCACCTTACTGGCAGATGATATACTCTGAAATGTATAACGGCCTGAGAACCAGTACAAAAAAAGTAGGTACTATACTGCTCAGATGGTATATATGAGAGGTTAGTTGTAGATTCCAATATGACAGAACAGATGATCAAAGGGTTTAAAATAGATAATCTCCTAGTAGGTTATAGGTACAACATCTAGTATAGAACCTTAGAATGGACTACTTAAATAGGTAACCAAAAGTTACACATGTGACTAGCTTTACTCTCATCTCTGTAAAAATAGTTGTAATAGCTAACCCAATATAAAGTCAATAAAATATCAACACAAGTATGGCCTTTAAAAAAAAAAAAAAAAAATTTAACTAGAGTTATTATTACATCATTTATTTTAATTTTACAATATTTAACATTATTAATGATATTTCAGATCAAAAATCGATTAGTTACTTTGTTGATCATATTTATGATTAATCAATAAGTAACTGTGCAATGTTATCGCACAATGGAAGAAATCTACACAGACACCATTTTAATCATGAAAAACCATGTTCTTCATTACAATCCATTCTTGGTATAAGAAAATGACTCTTTATAAAAGAAATTGACAGTACTTGCAATCTAAATATTGATTTAAATTTCAGTAACTGAGCCTAAAAACCTATTAATGAAGTCAATGTCTGACTGCTATATAGTTAGTTAGCTAGCATCACTTAGTTCCAATGAATTTGAGACCCTACAAAAAACATCAAAAAATCTATGAAACATATCTGTATTTAAAAATTCTTTCTATTAAGTCCTTGATGATCAGTGATTATCATTTTATCTGCCTGATAAAAAATTCTATGAAAAAAAATAAAATTTACAAAATATTTATATTAAAACACTGATTTTTGTGCCTGAAAAACTTATTTTTACTATCGTTTATTATATAACATCTTTGATTTTACAAATGTATCATTCATTTATATTTTTTTTAAAAAATATTGAATGATGAATAAGTCACACAGACCAAATTTTTGCATTTGTTCTTGGTACTGTCTAGCTTGTCAATGAAGTGACATAGCTAGCATTATTGTCATGTGCAGAACCTGGAAATTGTATCCTTTTATGGTAAAGTGATACAGGGTAGGAGCATGTTTAATGAGTATAGTTAAAATGGAAGGTTTTAATCGAAGTACAACGCATATGAAAGGGGTAAGTTATGAGAAGTTTTTC